CTGCCAATCTGTTCCGCAGAGCAGATCATTGTAATAATAATAACGGCAGAGCAGATTATCACAGACAGACAATCAGCCGTTTTCTATTTTGTGATCTGCAAAATTATATTTTAATAATGCGTGATTTGCCAAATAATATTTGAATAATGTGTGATCTGCCAAATAATATTTGGCAGATCACACATTAGAAAACGGCTGATTAGATAATCTGCTCTGCCGCTATCAACATTACAATGATTTCCTCTGCCAATCTGCTCTGCTCTGCCGATTGTACCTACCCCTTATATAAGCAGTTATCTTGTTGACTATCATTACATAAACACATGTTATCTATTTCAGTTACTAATGTTGAATATATCTAGAGTATGATTGTTTATTGTTGTTTTATAAACTATTCAGTGTAGATTAAAATAAATTTATTATTTCTAATCAATTAATATGAAAACTGAAGTTTTAAGAAGAAGAAAAACTGGAGCCTCAAGAGTATTTAAAAAAAGAAAAAGCACTTCAAAAAATCAAGTTTGGCAATTTTTCTCCCAAAATAAAGATACTTCTGCGAGCCAAGAATTGTCATTAATTGATAGAAATGCTAAAAATTTAGCATTTTACTTAACTTTATAACATCAACCAGCAATGTTATTGCCAATAATGAACTTATAGTAAACTACCTCAAAGTAAGAAAAAAGGAGTCTAATTTTGTTTTAATTGATCTTAACATAATTGTACAAACTCTTACTTTAGTTGGAACATGCCCTGACTGTGAGAGCAAATCAATCAATATTAATATAGATCATAAAAATAAAAAAGGTTTAAGTTCTTTGTTGCTATTGAGTTGCATTAAAATTTTATGGTAAACAAAATTGTATGCTGGTAAAAAAGTTGCAAGTAAAACTTCTGAAAAGTTTTTCGATATAAAATTACATTCAGTAGTTGCAATGTTACAAAATTATTTTGGAATTGTGATTTGTCAATGTTGTAGGAAATCTATTAATAAACTAATAAAAGCTATTGAAACTGTATTATTTAACTACTCTGAGCCATTATCTTCTGATGTAAGACATGCTATGTGTCCTCAAACTAATTGCAAATATAAAGGATATAAAATTGATAAAACATATGTTAATAAAGAAAAACCTGGACTGCCTATTGTTATCAGGGACATAACCAGTATTCATAGATTATCAGATAAAAGCTTGTTAAAAAAGTGCCTTCATGGAAAAACTCGAAACAATAATGAAGCCTTAAATGCAATAATTTGGAATCGAAGTCCAAAAATGTTTGTGTGGGGCAAATTGCTTTAGAGAAAGGTGCAGTATCAGCTGTTATTAAATTCAATGAAGGATTAGCTGGTTTGTTAAATGTTTATTTAGAGCTTGGTATAAATCCTAACAAAAACTGTATTACATTTTGAAAACAAAGAGATTGTCAAATAGTTAATAATATATTGCTAAAAAAATTGACTGATGAGGTAAAGCAATGTCAGAAACAAGGGCAAAATAAAAAGATTTAAGTGATCAATATGAAGAAAGTGAAGAAGTAGCTTAAAGCTCTAGCAGTTTTGAGTGGTTTTGTTATATTTCAATTGATATAACTACTTATTTTAAAAATTTAAATTTGATTATCATAATTTTTTTTTTTTTTAGTTAAAAGTTTTTATATTTCTTTTAACAAGGATACTACTTCTTTATTGTACTTAAAAAATTAGTTAAAACTCATTATAAACTTAGTTTATTAATATTGTTGTTAGTTAATACATTGAAGAGTGATTAGAAATCTTTAAAAATAGAACGAGAGCTTATTTTATATTTTAATTTGTTTTTTTTTATGTTAATTTTTTTAAATTGCTGTTTTCTTAGAACGACATTTTTTAGCACAGTGCAATAAATAACTTAGGAACTACTTGTTATGGTTCTTTAAAATTTTGTTCAGTTGTAATAATATATATGATAAACCCATTGAAGCAGTATATTTTTTTAATATTATATTTTGACAGAGTTATGGACTTTTAAAGGGGGCTGTTTGGGGGTAAAATATGACCTGTTAGTTGTATATGCTGTATCTCCTTGGTGCTTTAAGCTTACTTTATAATTCTGCTTCCATGAGTTCTTTAATATAATACAAGTAAACACTGAAAGTTTGAGTTTTATAGCATCTACCATTGTCTCAATATTTATCGCAGCACCTATTGACTGTTTTAGGTTTCACAACCCAAAACCTGTGTCCAAATGTGAAATTTTAATTTTTTTTTTTTAATTTTATGTTTTTACGCAGTCTTTTAATATTTTATGAAATCAATACTGTTTGGTTAAAAAAAATGATTTTAGAAATTTGACCACACTACCACCTTAAAGTAATGAAAAATAAAATAGCCACAAGGGAAAAAAGAATTGACCTTTTTTAGCATCCATAAAGTTAACGCATTTGTGTTAATTGTATTACTGTATTAAAGAATATGGATAATTTTAAACAAAAAGAAGAGCGAGAGAGTCAAATCGAGCTAGCTATTCAAGCTATCACTGAAAAAAAAAAGTCATACGTACAAGCTGCTAAGTGTTATAATGTGGCAAAATCTACACTTTTTGACAGAACAAAAGGATCATCTAATAATCGAGGAGCGCCAAGAAAGATGAGCAACATCACTGAAGCTATTATTGTTGATTTATTAAAATTTATGAGTGATATAGGCTTCGGCTTGAATAGAAAAGACATGTTTATTGTTGTTGAAAACTATTTAAAAGAATCAAACCAACGTAGTCTATTCAAAGACGGCAAACCGACTAGAAAATGGTACTCCGGTTTCATGAATAAATATCGTAAAGAAATTTGCCCAAGGAAAGTAAGTGGTATGCAAACTAATAGAGCTGTGGTCACACAACCAGCTATAATTGACAATTGGTTTGAGCAATTAACAGTAGCATATAATGTACATAATTTAGGCGATAAGCCGTTTCAAATATTTAACTGTGATGAATCTGGTTTGCGATTTGATCAAGGCAAAGTCAAAATTATTTGTAGAAAAGGGACAAAAAACCCTAAAAAGCTAGCACCATCGAATGAAAAGCAAATGGCGACAATCTTGACTTGTTGTGATGCATTCGGTAATTATTTACCTCATCAAATAATTTATAAAGGCAAACATGTTATGAAAGACTGGTGCAAAGGCGGTGCCCAGAATGTTTATTATAACAGTAGTAGTTCAGACTGGATGGAATCCAAACATTTTTTGTCCTGGTTTTTTTGCCTCAGGCAAACAAACTTTCAGGATTTAAAGTTCTAATACTTGATGACCTTGCTTCACATATGAGCCTAGAGTTGAAAAAAAAAGCTTTAGAAAATTATACTTTACTTTGGCATTTGCCGGCTCATACCAGCCATTTTTTACAGACACTAGATTGTTGGCATTTTTAAAACAGTAAAAGGCGCTTGGAAGAGAATTGTTGAAAGTTATTTGACTAAAAATCACTTTCAAAGCCTGACTAATCGACATTTTCCGGCCATGTTTAAGGATCTTATCGAAAATGGTGGGTTTAAACCTGAAAATGCACAGAGTGGTTTCAAAAATAATGGTATATTTCCACTCGATCGTTCGCAAATTTCTTCAAAAAAAGCTTCCATTGGTGCTGTGTTTCAAGCTGTCGAAAACAACAATGTTGAAAATTTATTTGATTCTTCAACAGTATCTAGTCCATTAGTTATGGGAAATATTACCAATACACCTAATACACCGTCAAGAATGTCAAATCGTGAATTTTTGCTTAAAAGCTTTGCTACTTTGAATAATGCTGTTCAACAAGTGGGCAAAGATATAAACAAATCAGTGTTAAATATGCTTCGAAATCAATTGACACCAACTCTAAATAAAGGAGATCAAAAAAGTGAGAGAATAAAGCGACCAGCTAATTATAATATGACTTTGGCGGATGCCATAGCTTACGATGAAGCTGAACAAGCATCAAAAAAACAAAAATTAGATGAACAAGCTGCAAAAAAATTTACTAAAGAACAAAAAAAGATTTCCACTGCTACTCAAAAAGCGAAAAATGCAGAGAAAAGAGAAGAAAAAAAAAAGTTGAGACAAAGTCAGTCGTCTAAAATACCAGGTAAAAAAGGTATTAAGACAAAGAATCGATTAGAAGACCCTCATTTTCCTCAAGCTTCAAATAACATTTTAGTATCTGATGATCTTCTATGTTATTCTTGCGAAATTAATTGGACAAATAACTTAGATAACCAATGGCTTGCGTGTGAGCAGTGTTAAAATTGGTCATGCATTGAATATATCTTTGATTATCGTCCAACCATGGAATTTATTTGTAACGAATGTGTGTAAAATAATATACATTCTTTTTTTATTAAACGATTTCATTTTTTTAATGGATTAAAATAATTATTTTAATGTTAGTATTATTTGTGTATGTGTTTTTCTGTATTTTATACGCATCCGGAATTAGGGACATAAACACCTAATTCCGGATAAAAACAATATCTTTTAAAAATAAAATAAAAGATTTTATTTTTAAAAAATATTGTTTATATTGCAAAAAAAAGGTTTATATTGCAAAAATAATATTTTTTATATCTTTCGATTTGTCTTGTTATGAAGTTTATTTATTTAAAAAAATTATTTCAAAATTCTTTATATTGAGCTAGTTATGACAATTTAAGTCCTAAACCATCCGGAATTAGGAGTTTTTACGGTACATATGAACACTTGTTTTAATTTCAATATTTTAATTTTTTTAGTTTTTATTATTTTATAATAAATTTATATTGTGATTATTTTTGTGATTTATTTCAATTAAAAAAAAAAACTTAAGAAAAAATCACTTTTAGTTTATAAAATATTTAATTTTAAACTTATATTAATACTAAAATAACTTGATGGATTGTTATTAATGGATTTAATATACTTTATGCAGTTTTTAAAATATAACTACATCTAACTTTAATACCATTACATGGTCATAAATAAAAAAATTTTAAATCTTTATAAATTTTACCTTGTTGTTAAAGCTGAATTTAAAGTAGCACATAAAAATAAAGAATAGTTAAGAACACAGCCCATACTAATATTTGCAACAAATGCAACCTAAAATTAAAAAAACAAAAAAACAATTGAAATAAGATGAAACCACAGTAGATATAGAAATCTACAAAAACTTTCAAACAAACCAAATACTCTTAATTTCATATGAGCCACAAAAAACATAAAAATACTCTTAAATTGATATGGGCAAGAAAAAACATGAAGACTGCAAGAACACTTTAAAAAGTGAAACAGAAATTAAACTACACAAAAATAACACAAATAAATTTATCAAGGCCTTCTTAAAGGCCAAATAAATTAAAATTTAAAAAACTGAGAACGCACTCATCAAAAACTTTAACAGGACTTGATATCGAAAAGACAAAACAATATTATTTGATATTGAGAAGACACAATAATATTATTTGATATTGAGAAGACACAATAATATTATTTGATCTTGAGAAGACGCAATAAATTTTTTGAGTAATTTTAAAGTTTTCTTTGCAAAATCAGAAGTTCAACTTGCTAAAATTTATTAAAACACCTGTAAGACACCTGTAAGATACCTGTACATTTCTAAAATATAACTTACCTCCACCTTCTATAAACTGATTTTTATTTTTTAGATTAAAAAATAACTTTGCTTAAAACTTTTCAAACTGTTCAAAAATTTTACTATTAAATCATCTGCTATTCTGTTAGTTAGTACAAAAAATAAAAAAATCATTAATTTATTAGATGTGCACAAAATAAGAAGCATTCCATATCACATGTCATCTTGGGTTGAAATAGAAGTAGGAGAGTTAAAGCCATTGTTGTCTACAAATACATAGTACACAACAAAAATGTTTGCCATATTTATATTTTGAAATTTAATGCATAAGGTGGGGACTAAATCCCTTACCTAATCCAATTCAGCAACACCACTGATAATCTGTTATTAAATAGTTAGATATTTTAACAGTACACCTCTTCATACAGGTGACACTTCAGTTATGATGATAAATCGGCAACATAACCCACAACTACCACATCACCCAACATTTAATCATATCTAAACACCATATTTAGATTTATAAATATATGTTTTTACCTCACACATTGTTTTTTAATTTTTCATGCATTTTTTTTTTTTTTTCATATTATTTTATATAGAAGACATTACATTATCACATAAAAATCTTTGTAGGGTTAGTAGAAAATGTCAAAATAAGACAGTGACATGTCCAACTGAGACATCACATCTAAAAGTTACAGTTTCTGAACCCAGAATTTTTTTACTTAAAATCTTTATTTGACATCAGTATGAAAATACAAAAACTTGACAAATGTCTGTCTGGAAGTTACTCATTTCAAATGCTAAACTCCATGCCACTGTGTGTTTGTTATAACTTAATAAGTATTTTGTGTGTTTATTATAACTTTGTGATTATTATAATAAATTTTTATTTAATAATAACTAAATAAATTAATATTTTTATTTTATTATAAAACTTTTAAATTATTTTTATTTAGTGGAATAAACTGGAAAAAGATTTTTAATTCTTTTTTAATTTTAAATTTAATTGTAATTTACTTTTATTAAAATAAATTGAACAATAAGAAATAATAAGCAATCAAATTGAATAGACAAGATTTGTGGACATTCAAAAAATATCGAATGCGAAGAATAATGAAGAAACATTTATATAACACTAAAAAGAAAAGATTTTTAAAATTCTCTGAAAAAAAAAAAAAGGATTTTGTTTTGTATACTTCAGTAATAATAACAAAATATTTAAATAGTAGCGTCCAGTTAACAGTTAGTAAATAATTGTTAAAACAATGAAGTAATCTTAATTTCATTCAATTGATTGGTGATTTTAATAAATTTTCATACCTGCTTTGATCAAAACCTTTTGACAAAATAAATAACTATATATAAATGACAACAGCAATTATATGTGACTTCTTTATTGTCTTGCCTTGTAACAGATTGCATCAATGAAACTTACAGTATAAGCAGAAAACAATTAATTGTTCCTGCAAAAAAGCAGGAACAATTAATTTTTTTTAAATTTTATTCTGATATACTCTCAACAAAGTTGGGAGTTACTAGAAAACAAAGAATAGAGAATCCAAAGAATAGAGAAACAAAGACATAAAAAGTTGGAGGTTGTATAAGTCATAAAAACATGAAGATGGGAGAGAGTTACAAAGGGTTGAAGTGTGGAGAAAAAAACTAGACTAGTAAAAGTTTTCATAGAGCAAGCAGGGGAAGATACAATAAAAGAATAAAACTTTGCTGAATGACGAGTCGAGCATAATGAGTTTTGGTTGATGGAACTAGAGATGATCTCATTTGAGCAGCAACCATGATAGTATTTGTAAAAAAGTGAAAGAGATACAACTTTATGACAATGGAAGAGAGACTCAAATTTGGCAGATAGAGTGGGTTCAACAAGAGAATGGAATCAGGAGTAAGAAAGTGGTGAGCGCAATAAAAGAAGCAATCTTAGCAGACGGTAATTTAGCAATCGATTTTATATAAAAATTCTATAAGAGGTCAGTAATGAACAATAATCCAAAAAATTGTAAAGAAGGGGACTTGGGTCCTCTGAGAGGGTTCCCATTCATCAATATAAGAATACTAAAATACTAAAGCCATAAATTCAGTTCAATTTAAGAGAACCTACTGAATGAATAAGAACTATTGCACAACAATTCAACTACTAACCTAATAACCTCAGCTCTACCACCATGTTAAATCCCTTAAATCAACAACTTAAATACCTCAACTCTACCAACAACCTAAATACCTCAGCTCTACCATCAATCTAAATTTTATAAAAAATATATATATAAATAAATTCATCTAAACTCAGTTCAATAGACTAAAACAAATTAGTGGCAGTCACAGTATACATAAACATTTAGCGCATTTAGTCCAAATTATTTCACGTTACCCAAATTATTTCATTTTATCCAAATTATTTTTAAAAATAAAAAAGGTAACTCAACATGTAGATAATGTAGGTGTTGTTGGAGAGGCATTAACTGATTTGACAAGAAACTGTCAAAAACAACAAATGATAACAAGAAAACAATTTTAAAATAACAATCACAGCAAAAACAAAATGATAACAAGAAAAAAAACATCAAAAATATTAAAAACATACATAAATCAAAAAAAGAGAAACTTACAATAAAACTTGTTCTGTCATTTTCGTTTTTAAAACCCGAAAAACTGAAAGACTCTAAAAGTTTACCATTGATAGTTGTATATATTAACATCATAGGAATGCAATTGATACTATTAATATGTAAGACAGAAAGTGCTGATGTATTATCTTCTACACCTGTTTTTTGAACATACGTCAGGTAAGTAGCTTGAGCAACCACACTGAGTAAGCCATTACAATAGCTACTGAAGTGAAACTTTAAATCTCCCAAACCTAATAACCAACAAAAAATAGAACTAAATTATAGAAACTATTACACTATGAAATAACAAAAGAACAAATAAACCTGCTACAAAAGGACAAATAAACCTGCTACAATAGTACAAATAAACCTGCTACAAAAAAACAAATAAACCTGCTAGAACTGTTCCGATAACAATAATTAGTACAGAAGTAATGATTCCATAAGAAGGTGTTTTCTTTAAAACAAAGTGAGCTGTTAAAAGGGTGGCAAGTGGTAGCATTCGTCGCAAGACATTATATCTATAAATACAATAGTCAAATAACATTTTATGAAAATAACTAACCAAACAAAACATGTTTTGAACATTGCAGCAACTTGCACAACAGAGCCTTCATTGATGAACTACAGGATTCTCATTATCTTTAAACCATGACTAAAAATTTAATCTTGGTGTTATGATTCATAATCACTTTCTGTGATCAGGAAGTTAAAGCTATTTCAAACTCATATACCTAAATACACATTTAAACATTACCCAAAATTTATGTTAAAATTATGTGCCACTCTTTTTGAACTTATATATATATATATATATATATATATATATATATATATATATATATATATATATATATATATATATATATATATATATATATATATATATATATATTAGGGTAAGTTGATTTTAATTCCACATATTTGTTTTAACTTGTTTCTCCGCGCAGCGGCCTTGTTTTTCAAGGTTCGTGTTTCGGAGTTATAGAGTTGAGAGAGGGTTACAACCACTATTAAGTAGCCTCCTCGTCTGTAGTGGCCTCCTCGGCCTTGAGGAGGTGAATAACAAAAAAAAAAAAAAAAAAATATTGCATAATATTGCAGTAGTTAGAGACAGTTAAAATATGATTACTCTCAAAATTTAAGAGATTTTGGATGAAGAGCTACTTGCAGATTTAATTTATAAGATTTGAAGCAAAAAAACACCTTCCATTTCCGCAAGCCACAATCGTGGCTTTTCCATTAAAGTGCGGCAAGCCAACATTGTGGCTTTTAAAACTAATCTTTAAAAGTATGACCTTTATTGAAAAAAATTATTGCTTTTCCAAATATCATTCATTAAATTTACAATGAGAGCTTAAATTTTTTTAAAATAAATTTTGTAGATGTTATAAAATGAAAAATGGCATACAAATATTAAAATTGTTTAATTTTTTTTTTCCATTTTTGTTTTTTTTTAGTTGAATTTTTCTAAACATCTTTTAATTTTATCAAGCATCCAAAGGGTTAAAAAGCATTATACATGAAAATTGACATTTTAAATATGTTCACATTTAAATGTTTTTTTAATATTATTTGCATTGCTGAAAGATTTAAATTTATAATAATTTATAACAGTTAAGCTAAATTTATAATAACTTGTTAACTATGTGAAGGTTTAAATAGTGAAACTTTTAATTTTATATTTACATAAGAATATCAAAATAAACATTATTTTTCGTGGTTCGTGAAAATTTGAAGATTTTTTTATTTCAAACCTTGCTGGAGCGTAAACCTGAACGATAAAATATACAAGTTTTTATAAAGAAACGGCTGGTTGATTGTCTCTAGCATACAAACAGAGAAGGCAAATAGCTAGAGTTAACCACTTTGCATGGTTTGTTTAAACATATTTTCAATATGTTCAAACAAAACTTGATTTCTATCCTGAATATTTTCAGAACATCTTTTGCCAAGTAGACCTCTGCAACTTCTTGGCCCAGTTGTGTCACCATCAAGTTTTATAAAAAGAGCTTGCAATAGAAGTTCATTTTGATGTAAGGCCCATCCAATTAGATGTAGTTTTCTTTTAGTATTAGTAGTAGTATTATCAGGAAGAACAGCTCGTATACTTTCCAAACTATTATGTTCTTGTAAAACACTGAATGTTTCGCAAGAATTAAGCCTGTAGGACCAGAAACATGAATCGTCCTTTCGAGTGGAAATTATTTAAATTATTAGGAAATTATTCAAATAATTTCCACTCGATTTTCCATCTTCATAAGTAAATGTGAGGTGATGTTCAGGTTCAATGCATTTCTTTAATACTTCTCCTTGTGATGAGTTTATTATTACTTGTTTTAGTTATCTCATAGATCATCCAGACCATATTTTGAAAATCCAGAAAATTGTTTGGGTAAAATATCCTGAAAAAATCTGGAATTTATTTTCCTTTATTTTCCTCTTAATTTTGCTTTTAGCTGAGTTGTTTCTAACTTATTTTTCAAACTTTAATTTTGTATGAGTGCTGAGTAAAAAAGTTTAAAAAAGAAATAGATTACAAAAATTACTGGATATCCAAATTTCGGAAAAAGATAATCCCTGTTATCTGATCAAGCTTGCTATCAACCCTAAGACAAATTAACTGTATTTTTTTTGTTGAGTCCACATCTTCACAAATGATTTTTACTTTTGACTTGGCCCTATCTAATTTGCATTTGTCAATCAAAGTATTTTTTATATCAACTTCATTTTTCAGGAGATGTTTAATGTCATGTAGTAAAGCATTTGCAAGGGCTGCACCTATGTTTGACAAACACTCGTTTCTGACTAGTTCCATTGCAAATCTTGGAGGTTTTAACCAAGTTGTATTTTCCGATAGGATAATTATTGGTCTCCATTCACCTTTATCCTAAAAACAGTTAATAAAATAAAATGCTTTCTGTTTTATCTACTACAAATATTTCATGCATTATAAATTATTTACCTCCGTATTGGATAAACCACTTGTTTCTTCAATTAAGTTTATGTGTGGTATGAGGGAATCATCTTCATCAATTAGCTTATGAGCTATTTTTTTGTCGCTCTTAATCAAGTTTTTGAATCCTTTTGACAGATAATGTACAATAATCCTCTGATCACGAAGATAAGCTCTGTCTTGAAGAGGTACTTTATTACTTTGAGAACAAAGGCATACAATATGCTCTTAAATTCAATTTTCTTTATTACATAAAACTTTTCTGTAACTACAGGGAAACACATCTAATGAACAGAAACACACAGAAATATCAAAAAGTTTGTCCAAGTTTGCATCAAGATTTCTTTTAGCGCTTGCTTTTCTATGCTTGTGATTAATATCCTTAAGAAGTACGAGAAGATCTTTAACTTTTCTATTAATAGATTTGTGAGTTATAAATGTAAACTTGGGTTTACTGTGGTCCAAATTGATTTTATTTTATTGCTAATTTGCTGAGTCACTAATTCCATATGTGAATTTGAATTTATATGAATAAGATAGTACTAGTACTGAATAACCTGTTTAAAATTGCTCAGATCTGTCATTGATAATTCACATGGGCCACCACAATATTTTTTTTCAATTTTCATTTGTGTAATTGTAGCCTTAACTTTCAACATTTTCATAGACTAATAATATATTTAAACTGTATTAAAGTATAACACTTAGAGACATGGGCCACAGCGTGACTTTTTAGTGGGGGCCAAAGCACCAACAATATCAAAATTTACTTTTAAAAACCTGCTTTGTAAAAAAAAAAAAAATCTCTTTTGAAAGAATTTGCCGGCCATGGCCCCCTGATTGAGTAAAACCATTAGTTCCTTCAAAAAGTTTTTTATTGCCTTACTTAGCCGAAATCAAGTTGCCAAAAAATTTATATAGGTTTTTTGTTTTCTGCTACAAAAAGTGTAATGATTAATTGGTTATAAAATTATTGCTTTATAAGGGCATAGCTTTAGACAATAATTATTTATAGAATGTAGATATTAAACTTTATATAAGTAAAATATAGTAATTTTAAGAACTATTGAATTTTTAGTTTCGAAGTTGTTTTTTAACAAAAAAAAATCATAGTTTTTCTATTAAATTTTTATTGATTTTTTAGATTGATCATAGAAATAAGGTCATTTAGAAATACAAATTTAGTTTAGAGCTAACAGTATGCTTTCTTTAATTCATTACTATGCTGCTATCCAAACTCTTCGAATGACATTCTTCGTTATTCTCCTCTCACCTTTGCTATCGCTTGGGATATTGTTTGGGGACTAAAAAGTAACTTTTTACTTAATAGCATTGCTAGTTTACAACACGCTTCTATTAGAATAATGGCATTTTCACCAATGAGATCTGATATCCAAAAAAAAAATTTCTGAACTAAAAATCCTTAAACTCCATGACCTTGTGTGTATTTGTATATGTCTGTATATGTGTGTATGTGTGACTAATACTAAATTACTATTAATTTTTTTATGATTATTGTAATTATTTTTATTTTTATCATTTTATCTTCATTATTGTCATTTTACTTTCGTTGCTGTATTGTTATTATTGCTACAACTACAACTTTTATTATTATCATTATTAGTACTTTTACTCCTTTAGCTTTTAATGTTCGTTTTGTTACTGCTGTGGACAATTAAAATTTCTATTAGCATTAACAATATATTAACTTTTATTTGCAAGTTTTTTACTTAAAATTAGTACATGTACTATTTGTAAACTTCCGTGAATGTGACAACTATTTCAGAATATATAAATTGATTAATTGTAAAGTTTTACAATTGTCTTTGTGTGTTTGAGTTTCTTTAAAATAAAAAAACTCTTTTTTAATTTTTTTAAAATAAAACAAATGACATAATCATCACACCAGGAATACAGAAAATAGTAAGCTATACTCTTCTTAAACACAATTAAATATGGTAAGTTTTCCATAAAACAATGAATTTCCCAATGAAACCAGTGTATTCCTGCATTAATAAAAAGGTCTAAAGAAAAATATCCACTCGTTACTAATTATTTATTGCTCAACAGAATTCAATTTAAAAATATATTGTTGGAGTGTATTTCTTTATAATTTCTCTCTATACTGTAGTTGTCTTTAATATATAATTTCTTTAATGAATCAAGTGGTTTGATTTTTGCTTTATTTATTATCTATATTATATTTATTTATTATTGAGTTATTATTGCTACAATTTGTTATTATTATATTTAATTATTATCTATGATATGTACATACAACTTATATTGTATTATAATTATTCTTTATATTTTTTTTCTCCTCAAGGCCGAGAAGGCCACTACAGACGAAAAGGCTACTTAATAGTGGTTATAACCCTCTCTCAACTCTATAACTCTGAAACACGAACCTTGACGAACAAAGGCTGCTGCGCGGAGAAACAAGTTGAGCGCGGTACTACCAGGGACGTGGTGGGGATCGAACTCGGAACCTATATATTATTGATACTTTGTTATTATTGTAATTATTTTGTATTATTACTATAATTATTACATATATCATTATTATTTGTTTAACAATCTTTTCTTTTCTTTCTCTATTATCTATATTATTTATGTTTTTAGGTGTCACTCCATTGACTAGATTGTAACTATATGAGTGACACCTAACCAAATTCTATTAATTTACGATAAAAATTTATAAATTTTTATAAATTGATATGGTTAAATAAAAATTAAAAGTAGCGGTTTCAATTGTAAACTGCAGCAGCAGAATGTGAGGAAAACCATGGAGAAGAGTGAGGCTTGACCTGGAATTGTCAAGAGTGAATAAAGGATTCCATGCAGCCTGAATCCACGAAGTTATGTAAGAATCACATTTGTCAAAAATCACAGAAAAGAGTCCCAGTCAGCTTTAAAGTATTTGTAAGAAGTACTATGATAGGAGGATTCAGATGATGAGGAATGAGATAATAGTTTTAGAGAGATCAAACTGTGATCAGAAGCACCTAAGGGTGAATGCGGAGAAACTGAGCACTGACTAGGATCAGAAAAAAGAGGAGTAGAGAAAGTAAATGATTGGAAAGCGGTTTGGAAAGTTGACTATTTGAGTTAGGAATTGAGAAATGCAAAAGTTGTGGGCTTTAATGCCTGCAGAGTCACTGACACTAGAGCCATGTCATTCAGTGTTATGAGCATTAAAGTCATCGACAACAACAATGCTGATGGATAATGAGAGAGGGTTTGGTCAATTTGATCAGAAATAACATCAAAAAGAGTGCAGTCTTGAGACGAAGGAAAGCAATATAGAACAAAGAGAAAGGTGATAGAGTGAAGTGGTACTAAAGGAAAGCACATAAAAGAAAAGTCTGTAGATTCAAACCTAGTTTCCCGACAAAGGGGTGAATTCTTACAAATGTAAATGCCCAGGCCAAGCATGTGATTAGTAAAGTTTATACGAATTATAGGAAGATAACCATCAACACTAAGATCATAAGATAAGACAGTCAAACTCAAATTAATCTCACAAAGGGCAAGTAGGTCTGGTGAACTTTGCGAGAGATAAAACTCAACAGAAGTTACTTCAAAGACTACGTTTATTAGTGAATGATAGGTTTAGAGAGCTTGGTGATGACAATGTGTTTTATAGTTTTTGGTACTTTTTTCTTTTTAAATTTGTTAAAGAACTTGACTCAAAGCATAGATAGTACTCAGTGCATTGTTTAATATTTGATATTTTGGTTTATATTAATGGTTATGGTTAATATTTGAGATTATGGGTTGAATAGTCATAAAAGCAGAGGACTATATATATATATATATATATATATATATATATATATATATATATATATATATATATATATATATATATATATATATATATACACACACACATATATATATATATATATGTGTATATGTATATATATATATATACATATATATATATTTATATATATATATATACATACATACATATTATCATTCTATTATTCCCATTCTATTATCTCCTAATCAGAGTACATATATATATATATATATATATATATATATATATATATGTATATATGTACTCAATATCAGGCCTTGCGATAAAGCATCGGGCGATGTGAATTTTACGTCGTCCAAGAGCGATTTTGCGTGTAGCTAGGGCTATTTGCGTCAAAAAATTTTTTGTTTGAGTATATTTAAAGATATTTTTGAGCGGAATTTTAATGAAGTAATTTACGATTATTTTAACATTTAATAAAGTATTTTAAAAACCGCATGCAGTTAAAATAAAAGTTTGAATTAAAAAAATTAAATATGCTCATTATTTACAAGTAGAAAAAATTCAGATTAAAAAAAAAGTTCAAACCTTTTAAGCTAACATTTTAATAAAATTATTCAGCAATAGCAGTTGTCAATAAAATTGAACAAAAATACTTTCTTTTAGTTTTAGATTTTAAACTTAAATAATTATTTTACGGGGGTTTGTTAGGTTTTGAAATTATTCCGTAGATTTAAAAATATTTATCAACTGTTAGACGTATTTAAAGTATTTAAGAGTAATTTCGAGGAAACATTTTAAAAATTGGTGAGCGCAAATAAAATAAAAAAAGGATTAATATTAAAACGGATTCTACTTGATTCAATAAAAAAGTACAGTTATTAAAATTTTTGTAAAAAGTAACTCAAAAAAATTACTTAGATAATAACGATCGCTTTTATGTTAAAAGTTACCGAAACTCAACGAAGCGTGCTCAAGAACAGCTGCTGAAAAAACAAACGTCAATAGTTTTTCGAATTATTTTTAATAATAATTTTTAAGAATAATTTTTTCGCTGAAATATTTCTTTTATACCTATAAGATTTTTATTCTAACATTTTATTTTATTTTACTAGAAATAAAATTCCTTGTTAACATTAAAAATCTATTCAAAACGTTCGTTTAAGTTTTTTATTAATACGAGTGATTGTGCTTATCAACCGCTTTATGAAAATAAATAAAAATAAATAAATGAATATTATATAAAATCGCTTGTAAAAATATTAGCTAATGCACAGTTTTTAATCGTACAATATTAAAATTTCCAGTTTATTACTCGCTGACTTTTTAAAAAGAAAAAAATAATTATTTGAAAAACTTTAAATTACATATTAAAAAAAAAAAAATCAAATATTAGCATATTTTATAATCTTTTTTAAATTTAAGTTATAATGTTTTTTATTCGTTTAGTATAGACAAAACGTGACAAACGTAGAGAAAATAAACAAATGTTTTTACAAAAAACGAAACATTCCAAAACATTTTAAATAATAACATTTCTACATAAACGATTTAAAGTAGTTTTGCGGTAATTAAGTAAATTGGTGCAGTTAATGTTGATAAATATGAAAAGCAAATAAAAAGAATTTAATGACGTCAAAAATCACGTCGTGCTTATGCATTGCGCAGTTCTTATTCATCGCAAGGCCTGATATATATATATATATATATATATATATATATATATATATATATATATATATATATATATATATATATATATGTGTGTGTATATATAATTTTTGTTTTCTTTTAGAAACAAATTCGTCACATGCTGATGACCATAGGAGAAGCATATTAATTTAAAAGTGGGCAAATCTAAGTTTTACGATCTGCGGCCATTCTATGTCGAGCTAGTAAACAATCTTCCTCACGATATTTGCTTTTGCATATACCATGAAAATTTCAGGTTGTTAACGAATGCTCTTCAAAAAAAATTTAATATTATGTCAGACATAGTTGACAGATCTGTGTGTAATCAAAACAACCAATCTTGCATGTTTATGGAATGTAAAGCAAACTGTGGGTTGCCAAAGTTTGATGAATATGTTTCTAATGTAATAGACTCATTTGGTGACGATTCCAACAAACCGCTCTTTGTTTTTGACCAATGGTCCTCAGAAAACGCGCAGAAAATTGAACAACCACTAACATCTTTGTTAGAGGGGTGTGTATTACTGCGTCAGCAATTGCCAGATTATATACATCATGTGTATATAAAGCGATAACAAAGTGCATATTTTCGTTTATGTCGCCAAAATGTATCAGAAAATGAATTGGTTATACAGTAAAATTGTAACTTTATTTGTAGTACGATAACAAAACTTAATAATTTTGTATTAATTTTTATAAACTTATTATTCATCCATTTATATTTTTAATTCTTCTAAAATCAGATGGATTTCAGTAAAAATTACACAATAATGGAGCAAAGTGAAATTCAATTTGCTTACTGGGTTCATCAGCAACTAACAGTATTCACGGCAGCAGTTGGGAGTAAAAACAATACACATTCCTATGCCATTGTATCCGATTGTTTACTTCATGATAAATATGCCATCTTGTTGATTATCAAAGAATTATTAAATCGTTATCATAATATTTGTAAATTACACTTTTTCACTGATGGGCCTTTATCACAATTCAGAAACTCTTATGTCATGACAGCCATGAATAATTTGTACAAATTATCATCTGATCTTCTTGAGATTCGTTGGTCATTTTTTGCAACATCACACGGAAAGGGGGCAGTTGATGGAATAGGTGGAGAAATAAAAAGAATGGTTTGGACAACAGTAAAATCTGGAAAACGATATTGTCGCAGTTTAGAAGATTTTGTGAGCATTGCAAGTGAAAAAATACCAAAATTAATGTAAGTCATTATTTATAGAAAAAACCTCAAAATGAAAGTTAAAGATAAGAAACTTTTGGTTGTTAAAGTTTTATTTTTTTAGATCATCTCTATAACAAATGAGTGTATTACCGCAAAACAAAGTGAGATCGATGAGACGCTTCTCAAAGATAAGTTTAAAATCAAAGGTATTCGTCGCCACCACTCTTTTCTTTTTAATATTGATGGTGCTTACATGGCAATTTGTAACCAATCAGAAATGGTAAAAATTGTTAAGAATTCATCATCTTCATTATTGATAAACGCGGTATCATCCCCGTCTAAAAGGTACAAATTTGATACTATTTCTCCAGGTATATTTGTCTTTGTAGAATTGCGTTCTGCTGGTAGAACAAAGACATACCTTGCCGAAGTATTAGAAATTTCAGATAATATGGCACATATTAAATTCCTAAAAGAACAAAACGAACTCATTTTTATATACCCATCTGTAGACGACCTCTCCTGGCATGACTTGTGTGAGTTAAAACCGTTAGTACCACAACCACACTTTGATAACCGTGGACATATTATTGTCGAGCCGAAGTATTAGCACTAAAAATATTGTTAAAAATTTGATACTGTATCTTTCTTATCTTTAATATATTATTAACTATATAATACATTATTCATTTTTAATATAATACACTTAAGTATTTATTTATAATCCAATGTGTATTAAATTAATTAGTATTGATATATATGCTATTTGTGATAGTCCCAACCAATTTATTTCCAAAAATACAATCCAAAAATGACGAATGTTTGCATGTTCCGTTCGTTACTTTTTTTTTGTCCGTATGTGATTTTGGTTGAAACTACTATTACAGAGCAAAGATACATCCTAGAATGCTGTAACTTTGTAAAAACCTTTAAAAATGCTTGTATAATTACCTATAAAAAACAAAACACTCGTCACTAATACATTTTCAGAGAAAAAAGGATTCATTTATTAATTTTTTATTTTTTGCTTTTTTCTGTTCCGTGCGTGACTCCATTAAAAAATTCATTTATTTTATAATGAAGCAACCCATAGCTACTATACTTTGTATAGGTAATATATACATAGATGTCAATTAAATAAAAGTAAATCAGTGGTTACAAATTGCATTATTTTCAAAATAATAAATGCAACAGATGAAATGTTCCGTGCGTGATTATTTTTTGGAAATGCCTTGGAAATGCATATATATATATATATATATATATATATATATATATATATATATATATATATATATATATATATATATATATATATATATATATATATATATATATATATATATATATATATAATAATAATAATAATAATAATAATAATAATAATAATAATAATAATAACAATAATAACAATAATAACAAAGTTTAGGCTGCACTAAAAGTAGGTTCTTTTAAACCAGTTACTTTACTTGGTTATACCAGTCATTGCACTTTTTTTGGTTGTCATGAAGCAGTTAACTGACGGTTGTTAACTGAACCAGCCTACAGTTAACTGTTAACTGAAACAGTTAACTGAAAGTTATAACTTGACAACTTTTATCTGTAGATGATTCCAGATAGGCACAATTATATTTGAAAAGAAATTTTTTCTTTAAGCACAGTTTTTTGTTACTTGCTTACAGGAACCAGCTTCGTAGCTCATCTTTGGACCTTTTCAATTAGTTTGTCTAATTGGTGGTAAGGATTCCAAACTGAGGACGTGCACTCTAGATGAGGACAATTGAATAATAAAGAATTAAACTTGTTTCTAAATTCTGTGTTTTATATAACTGCTTTAGAGACCCTAGCATGAAATTTGCTCTGGTTGAAACAAGTTTTGAGTAATCTTTCCAATTCAGGTAGTTTCCATAATTTGCACACCAAGATCTTGTTCAGAAACAGAAAAGAATTGTAATATAAATAAAGCTTAAATATGCCATCAGTTAAGATTGTTTAACATAACGCCAATAAAGTAATTTCTTTACTCAAACATACAGAGTAAGAAAACTCCATATACTACATATAAGTATTACTTTTTATCTGATACTTTTATTATAAAAGAAAAATCCATAAGTTTTTTGACAAAAAAATGAAATTTGTATAGCATTTCATAAAGTTTTCAAACCTTAAAAAGCTGCTGAGAAAACATTTTGGCAAATATGATAAATATATTATGTAAAAAACAAACAAACAACAGTATATTTAATATATCATCAATTGAAAAAAAATATCACTAACTAAAAAAAATAAGAACAAAGAAAAAATAACGACCTTACATAGGAATAGATAAACCACTTAGTGCAGCTAATGCAAGTGTTGTGTGAAGTGCAAAACATAAACTGGGGAAGAAAAACTCCCTACTCCTATAAAAACAATACTATAAAACAACAACAAAAATTTAATTGAAACTTATTTTATACAAACAGACTAAATATTCACTATTTTAAAATTTAAATAAAAACCTTTGAAATGTCCAAGGAGGTATTTTACATATATTTGTCATTCGACACAAGTCAACAACTATAGCAGTCAATACAACTTGAAAAAGCATTATAACATCAGGATAATCATAGTGGTATGAAGTTAAAATAACCTAAAATATTAAAATTTGCTTAGTAATCAAAAAGTAATAGTAAAGAAACTTTTTTTAACAATTCTGCTGTACTTAAATTGCTGGATTATATCTATTATTGCATTTGCAATACTATAATTTTTGTAATACCATTATTATTTTATTATTTAAATTACAACTCGATTACAGTATATAATATAGCTTTTAATATTCTGTTTAAAAAATTATAACTTTAAATTTTAATATTAAGCACCAATTGTAAGCTTTTTTCGTTCAGAAAATAGCATTGCTCATGAAAATTTGTAGAGCTGCAAAAATGCGTCATATAATAAAAAAAAAGATAACACTAGGTTATTATTATTAATATTATCAATATAAAATGATAACTAATACTTAACTTGAAAATTTAACTTTGTGTGCTAACTTAGTACAGTTAACATAATTAGTCATTAAGAGTCAAATATAATTGTTATTATCAATGTACAACTAATCGTTTGTAGTGTACCATTAGAGTTTGTACCATAAAAACATACTCACTTTATTCATAAATGACATAGAACCAGACACAAAGGCATAAAATAGAGCTGCCAGCAGCCCAGGTAAGTTGTGTATCAAAAAACTCAACGACGAAGTCATTAAATTGTAGTGAATCAACTTAAACATAAAAGTGCTATTAGCTTTATTTTTTTTGCCGTTGGAGGTCACGTGACAAGTTTGCTACCTTATCGGACGAACAGTAAATTTACTTTGGTGGTTTCATTAAAAAACATTAATTAGTTTTGCTCATTATAACGTCACTTTGTTGTGACGTTATTAATGAGTAAAAATCACATTTTTATTATTGTTACGTTTTATAGTAACTTTGCTAATAGTCTCAAGTTATAAATATTGAATTAATAAATATTAAAAACATTTTTGTTAAATATTGAAGACACTGAACAAAACGCGTTAATGGCAAGTTTTGTTAAATTTGTTTTAAATCAATTAAAAGAAAAAATCAAAAAATATTTTTAGCAATTTTATTAAGATGATTGTTAAATATTCTAATGTTCAGACTTATTCATTGCTTTCGAACCTTATTTAATAATTCGCACGAATTTTTATTTGTAAACAAATTATTTCAGTGATGTGCAATTAAATATAAATATATTTTTTTTGATATTGATTCGCATACATTTTTTACAATAATTTTTTACAAACACTTCACGACATGCCAGCAGCAAATAAAAACTAGAACGTTTAAACTTTAGAAATTTAAAAATATTTTTACATAATCTTGTAGATCTCGACAAGCTGCATAAAAACTAACCATTTAAAAAAAAAAAGTGCTAAATTTTATTAACGAATTTAATTATAAAAACACTACTAAAAATTTGAAATATCACGCAGTGCAAGTTTTTTCGGATTCCATTAAAAATTTTGGAAAAAATCAAAGTTGCGAAAATAAAAAGTTTTTTTTTAATAGTAAAAAAAATAATTACATACACGCGCATACATTTATTGATCGGATTTTTTTTTTTTTAATACAAAACCATTCATTTAATTTCGGATTTTTATTCAACAGATATCTGCTTATATTTGCATTTAAAAACATAAATTCAAATTGCAATTATATCTCATTAATAAAAATAAACAAGTACTACAGAACCATTTACCATCAACTTTTACAATTCATCCATTGATAATCGAAAGGGTCTTCCTGATGAATTTTACCACATTCACAAGCCAGTTTGCCAATTTTGCTAAAGCCGCCTCCTTTTTTCCTTCTTTAGTCATATTTTTAATTTGAAAATCACTCTTTAACACCCGGTCTAATACAAGTTTCATTATGTACTTTAATATTAATCTATATGTATAGATAAATATGTATAGATACTTAAATATAAAAAAAATCTGTATTTACCAAAATTTTGCAAATTCAAAATTTTAGTTTAATGTTTAGGGTTTAAAAAAAAAGTTAAAATTTTTGTTTGAATGAGCAATAAAGAAATACTAGAAAAAAAAATTTATTATAGCTCCTCATTTATTACTACATCGCTTATTTTTGTTTGCAAGATTTACGTTTTATTACAATTATACTTTGAATGCTGATTATTTCAAAAATGATAGTAGATATCTATTGTTCAACGTTGAAATTTAAAAAATTTATTATCTAGATAATATATATATTTTTTTTAATTTTAATAACATATAATTTTTTAGATTATGAAAGACTATTGTTTCCCTAATATTAAAGAAAAAAAATTATTTAAAGTTTTTAAATTTCAACGTTGAAATTTGATTTTTTAGTACGCATCTGAAATAACAATATGTCCGAAATATGCATAAGTCACCAAAATTAACTATATGTACATATAGTTAATTTGGTGACTCTAGATAATACTCGTGCTAAATTCAATACTTTGCTTATTTTATATTTCAATAGTATGCATAATTTCATAACTCTTGTTTTGCAAAGGAATTATTTCAGCTGATTTCAAATAAACGATTTCATTTTTTTACTATTCTTATGCATGAAGTTAAACAAATATTATTGGAAAAAAAAAAGTTTGTAAAAATTGAAATAGGGTAGGGTGGGGTAATCTGAGTCTATTTTTACCTATTTCTGACTTTGAATTAAAAAAAAGCAATGTTTAGGTATCAGCTTTCTGAAAAAAGATGTCTTAAAATCATGATTGGGCATCCTGCTAAACAAATTTAACAAAAAACTATTACTAAAAATACTATTAATAGGTATGGGGAGCCTTTATTTGAAGATGTCTATATAGACATAAAATGTTTGCAGTTCCGGTTTAAAATACTGCTGCCTATTAAAAATCTGACATATATTTTATATGCCCGCACATTTATTATAGTATATATATACAAGGTTTTAATTTAAAAAGTAGCCTTAAGATATTTTTATTTAAAAAGAAAGTGCATACATACACAACACAACAATAAAAATTAAAAATTCTGAGAAATAAATAGCCGATAGCCGATCTTGGTGCTTGTAATCTTGGAGATATAGGGTTATAACGTTCAGGTGATTGATTGAAAAAATCAATACCTGTTATTCTTCTTTCCATCTTTTCTTTACTTAATGGTGAGATACCTGTACCTCGAAATCCTGCTATAGCATTTGCTGGAGAGAGTCTCTGACACAGTTATTTCAATAATCCTGTAAAAGCTGTCTTATCAATATTTTTGAGTTGTATTTCTCTTGAAAACCGCTTTAAAAATTTTTTCCACTCATTCTTTAATGGTTTGAAGACACCCACATTTAATGGTTGCGTGTGAGCAATTTGGTGGAAGACAAACAATTTGGATATGGTTGTCCATGGCCACTTTTATGGTACCATATGTTAAATGACTGCCATGACCATCATAAAGCAAGAGTATTGGTTTTTGATCTTGGTCAACAAATGGTATAAAGTGCTCAACAAACATAAACATAGAATGTATTTACTTCTATTGAATCATTTGTACCATCATCAAGAACAACAAAGGCAACAACAAAAAATGAAAAAAAAAATTTGCAAGAAAAAAAAAGGAAAATTATAAAATTCTAGTAAAATACCAGTTTTCAAATAGAAAGTCTTGCATCCCTCCACTTGCTGTTGCACCAAAAGCACATCCTGGTGGTCCATTTTCTACATATTTAGAATACAGATAGCCTTCTCCTTTAAAAACAACTAATGGTGGAAGATATCTTCCATCTGCAGACACACAGAACAGCACAGAATAGATAGCTTTACCAGAAAAAGCAGCCAATTCATAAGCATCTTTGTTTTTTGGATGTACAAATACTCTCTTCGTTAAGTGATTTGTGGAGAGCCCAGTCTCATCAAGGTTGTATATACTACTTTGTACAATGTTATTATTATGGATTACATCAGATAAAATAATAAAAAATTTGAGTTTTTGCATCTTGGCTGCACTCAATATGGGTAATTTACTGTACTCAGTATATTATTCGAAGGACTGTGGATCAGTGGGGGCATAAACAATTTTTCTCAAGCTGAGCTTAATAAATTTCAAAGTGAATCATGCAAGTGGAGAACGCAAGGTTTAACTTAACTTGGTAGTAATTGGTAATAACCTTTCTTTGTGGGCAGTTGTTTTGAGTCAAAAAGATCAATTATTTTAAATTGTAATTATTTTAAAGAGATCTCCAGCACAAAAGCAGTATTCAAAAGCGGCTAATTGCCCCTTCTTCTCATAAGTCGTATGAATACAGCCCATTGCACTAAAGGTTCTACAATGATTGGAAAGAGGCCGTTTTACTAGCTCCACTGGTATATATTTAGAGCTCCATAAGTGAATAAATTCTGAGACAGCTAAATGGCTGACAATTCTTCGTGAAATTTTGAATGTGACGGTTTTCCTGGCATCTAAAGAATTTAACTTTAGGGAATTTACTTAAGGTGTTTTCATTGACTTGACGAAAGATTTAGATACTATTGATCACGTAATTCTTTTAATAAAAGTTGGAGTGGTACGGAATTACTGGAAATATATTAATTTGGTTAAAAAGTTACTTAACTAATCGAAAACAATTTGTTTATGCAGATGATAACATATCATCTAGTTTGTTAAATATTTCATGTGGAGTTCCTCGAGGATCCATATTAGGACCTCTCCTAATTCTAATATATATTAATGATCTACCAAAAGCTTCTAACCTAATGTCACTTATGTTTGCTGATGATTTTAACTTATTTCTTTCTCATTATAACATTTTTACACTTTTTAGCAACATAAATATTGAACTAGTCAAAATTTGCAATTATTTGTTGCTTGTTGATAAAAAAATTATTATATGTTTAAATTTAGTGAATTATTTAACATGTTTTACTTTTTAAGTTTAAGAACTCTTCTATTGTAATTTTGTATGTTTATTTTTATTTTAATTTATAATATTATATTACGAACTTTATGCGTCAGAAAACGGTAATTTATATATTTTTGAAAATTATGAACATTATTGTTCGCATGAGTCAGCTCTTCGGAAGACACAGTAATTTGATTGATGCAAGCCGTAAACACCATAACAAAAGGAAAAAATCATATAAAAAAAAAATCTTCTAATTTCTTCAATAGAGGTTTCTCAGTGACAAGAAGCTTTTTTAGGTAGCTCATTATAAAGTTTTCTCAATATCAATTTTGATTTTTTATATAATTATTACAATAATTTGTAACATCCCAATTAGAAAATGTATAAAATAATTATAATTAACTTATTGTAATAATTATATAAATAATTAAAATTGATATTGAGAAGACTTTATAATGACAACATCAACAAGAAGGCTTCACAATGAGTGCCCATTATTTCTTTCTGTCGTCTCAAAATGAGTTCACAAAAGAATATGGTGTTATCCAAAGTGCAGCTGTCGAAGAAATTCAGGATGGTATCTACTTCACAACCATAAGTGATGGTACCCCTAATATATCTCATACTGTGCGAATAACCTTTGTCATTCGTTTTCACCTCAATAAAAGAGAAATTAATTGCTGGAAAATTAAAGAACGATGTGTTGAAACTTTTGAGACGAAGAAAGGATTTGGTATAGCTAAGCTTATCACTAATGCGATTTTAAGGCTATATATGGATATTCAAAAATGTCGTGGTCAGGGACACGATAATGGATCCAGTAGGTCAGGTGCTTACAAGGGAGATCAGGGTTTGACAAGGCTAAATTATTCAGAAGCTCTGTACGTTCCCTGTAGCGCTCACAGTCTGATTTTGGCTGGTGTG